CGTGGAAAGTTCAACGTTTCTGAACAGGGAAAGGTGTAGAATAGTACTTCATATCATACATGTATAGCAGAAATAATACGTTAATTTTAAAACTTTTTTTGTTAATAACTTTTTAACGAGTTAGGTCCGACGGTTAAAACTTCCTCAAGGTCACTCAGGATCATGACCTTGACAACATATGTCAAGGTCAAGGTCATTGGAGGAGGCTCCCCTAATCTACATTTTTACCATAATAAGATACTAAGAGTATATATAAATGGAGACTTGTATACATATATCCATCCTGAATTAAATTAAAATTATAATTATATATGATATAGCGCGTTAATTGTTCTAACTATAAAACTATAATCAAATAATAGCGATAGCATATTTATTATAGCGAAAAACCAATTCATAAATTGGTAAGTTATACAAATAAATATCTAATACGTCAAAATTTATTATTCCAAACCTTTAATTTCTCGAATATCCTGTATGTGAGTAGCTTTCTTTTCGTCCCTCTTCTCTGTAATAAAAAATACTTATTCTATCTAAAAATTTAGTATGATATATTCTTCACACAAAAAACAATAATGTGCATAACATAAAATATCAAAGAAAACTTAAATAAATCCAAATCTTATATGTACGTAATAAATAAATTATATCCATCATGAATAAATCACAGTTTGCAATTTTGGTTTACCCATAAAATAAACATCCATTTTGCGAACGATATTTACTCTTTCCATAGCATGTTGCTCAGTTTCAACCTGAGAAAAGAAATGAAAAAAAAAAAGAGAAATTATTATTCTTGAAAATATTATAACATATGTATATTTTACTAAGAAAAATGGAAAACAAGATACATCATTTTTTTCTAATAATTATTAGTAAGTCATATAATATAATATTTGGATGTCATATTTGTACCTTGGAAATTTCTGTAACTTCCCAAGCACGTGATTTGAAATCTTCTGGAGCAAAATGTATAATGACTTCTTCCACAGTTGCATGCTGAAGCTCAACCATTCTCATAAAAGCACGAAAACCGACTGTCGCTGCAACGAAACTTTCGTCAGTTGTCGTTTCTTCGGCAAGTACCTGAGTGATCAAAGGACCATGGCCTTTTCTTTCCACCAATTGAACCAAAGCATTCTGAGCATCGGGTGTCTTTAGAGCAGGAAAAATCTCAGTCTTGTAAAGGCATTCGTTAATCTCGTTTATGGAAACACCTTGTCGAACCAAGTAGCCAATTGTTGCAAGTTCTCGAAGGGGAAATTCTCCCGGACCAAATTCTGTCGCATCAAGTACCTCCATTATCTCATCGACTTCCCGAGTTATGCTTTCTTTTTGTCGCTCCACAATCTCTTTTATGGTAATGTCTTCTTGAATTTTTCCGGCTTTTATTTTCTTTATCTTTTTTTGTCTTGTTTCTATATGTTTCGTTTCTTGCAAACTACTTTCTACATCTTCAGAGATTGCATCTTTCTGTAAAGTTTCCGAGGTAACTTGAGCGTGATCAAGTTTCATTTCAATGGTGAAATCTGGAGCAATATCTTCACTCGTGATTTCTGACACGACAACACTTTCTTGCTCTTCGACAATTTGTTTGGCACGTTCTTGGAATTTAGGTATACATTCTTGTAGTTTTTTATTGTCAATTTTCTTTAAAGAAGCTATTGCTTCTGTTACAATTGATTCTTGGATTGGTATTATTTTTCGTGCTCTAGAAACCTAAATTGTAAATATAAAATAAATTGTAATTCGTGAAAATATACAAAAAATTCAGCTATATAAAAACTAAATATTTTATGTTAAAGAGTGAATTTTATATACTATCGTAAATAGTTCCCCCCCATAGCGCGCCGAACATCCGTTGGACTTAAAACGCAAATCTAATCAACTATACCGTTGCAATATCACAATTTTTGATGCTTATTATAGCATCTAAATTGGATCTTAATAATATGTTGAAAGACATATTAAATTCTAAAAATGTAATGTTAAATTAATAATAAATGTAAATCTATGTATGAAAAATAAGATTGCGAAGAATATCACAAGTTGGTCCCGGCTGTTATTTGTTATTTGAAACTTTTGAGAGTCTTCTTTAATTGATTTGTTGAATATACGCTGGCTGCAAGATGCGTTTGTTACTTTCAAATAATTATTATTTAAATGAAGAACTTTGTGATGAATATCACTACGTCGACTAACCAACAGAGGTCTATAGTTACTAATGCCAATTCTCGCAAGTGTCGAATTACATGATTATCTGTTTATATAGAACTTCTTTCTAACATCTCTCCCAGGCGTCTAAGGTAGGCTCCCACTACATTACCTTATTGATGAGTCTAGTAGTGGGAAGCCGGGACGAAACGCCAACTGTGATATTTTTCGCAATCTTATTTTTCGCACACATAGATTTACATTTATTATTAATTTAACATTACATTTTTAGAATTTAATATGTCTTTCAACATATTATTAAGATCCAATTTAGATGCTATAAGCATAAAAAATTGTGATATTACTACGGTAGTTGATTAGATTTGCGTTTTAAGTCCGACAGATGTTCGGCGCGCTATGGGGGGGAACTACTTACGTAGTATATAAAATTCACTCTTTAACATATCTTATATATGATCGCACTAATAACAGCGAATAGCTCTCATTAGCCGTTATATTATTGTTATTTGAAACTTTCGAGAGTCTTCTTTAATTGATTTGTTAAATATTTTATAATACCTCCTTGGGTTTATCTTCTATGAACTCTGTAGTTTCTAATAGTTGAGTCTCTTCAACATCAATAATTCTTCTGTAAATACAAATGTCAACAATTATAATTTAAAATTAAAGAACAAATTAAAAACTTTGAATTATAATTAATAAGATAACATGAAAAATTACTGACTTTTCTATCTGTTCCTTTGGAATAAGTTTCTCTTCGCGAATTTTTTCTTTCTCAATTTTAATACGTTCAGTTTTTACTTTCTCCTTAATCTCCTTTGTCTTCTTTAGATCAGTTTTCTTTTTTCTGTATAATTTCTCTTCTTGTTTTTTAAATTTTATATCCAGCTTTTCTTCCTCTTTGTCTTCCGGCATTAACCGTGATTCGCTGATAGTATCGATATGAAGTTTGGCTTTCGTTACTATCATACCGATTTCATTGGTAGCTTTGCAAACATACGTGGCATCGTCTCCTTTGGTAGTTTGCTTAATTGTTAGAGTAGTTCTATTTTCTTTGTCAAATATACGTATTTTTACATTGTTCGTATTCATTATAAGCTTATCGTTCTTATACCAAACAACATCTATAAATTGAAGAAATAATTAATTAAGACAATTTGATAACTAAATTTTAATATCTTTGTGATGTGTGAGTAATTACCTGGTTTGGGATTACCAGAGAAGACACATTCAAATAAAGCGACATCTCCTTCTTTTGTATAAACATCCGTTATTTCTTGGATAAATCGTGGAACAGCTTGTGTAGCTGAAATGTTATAAAATTGTAATTATCAAAAATTCATAATAAAAATACATTACATTGAATTAAATTTCTCACCAAATTCTATGTTTAACGTCAAGATTATTTGAATTAATCTCATTTTGTCAATAGCCTAGGTAAATCAACATGTGTGAAAAATTATACACCAGTTACTTCTAAACGATACATCTCTATTGTTAGTCTTAAAACGAATTCTATCTATACATCATCCTTTTTTCATCTTTAATATAGTATTTTCTATAAGATATATGGATGTATTGCCGGCTAATCCAAATTTCCGCTGCATTAACTTTGAAGTAGCAAAAATTTTTGTACTTTTTCTTGATCATTTAGTGTTGATGCGTGTTGGAAAGATTCCAGATCAATTTTTTTCAACTCTAATTGAAACATCCGCAGATTCATGATTTTTGAGTTGTCTCTTTTGCAGCATTTTAAAACAAGAGTCTTAGATAATATAAAATAAGGCCCAATAAGTATAAAACAATATGAGTAATAATAAGGGCAATGAGCCAAATACTGAACGCAAGAAAAATTTTTCAAATTAAGTATAATATAAAATTTAAACGTTAATACAGACGTTTCGACTCCGATCGGGTCATCTTCAGTGTAACAAACATAAATAAATTATAAAATTTCGGTGTCGCTAATCAATAGATGTCAGGAAATTATTCGCATTTTGAAATTGTAGTCCATCATGTAAAAGTTAATCCAATACAGTAAAATCAATCTAATAAAATTTATATAATTTGTCATAAGAATCTTAAATAGCATGTTAAACAAGTGTTAAAAGATAGTTACCTTATTAAAAATTGTGTAATAACTAATGTCAATAATGTAAAATTCCATATGTGAAAAATGCAATGTCGTCAATGATAAAATGTTATAACAATTCAGATTTAATCCAATTTACAGCTTTATCGACTTCTTATGTTAATGTCAAGAAACGCAATGA